TGGACCGCCGCGTCTCCGGCTCGGTACCTTCGCGGGGCTGAGCTCCCAGCACGGTCCACGCTCCGACACGCGGCTGGCCGACGATCGCCGCGCTTGGGCTGCCGCGATGGTGCGGTACAAGCTCATCGCGCTCTCGTATCGCAGCGGGGCCGAGGCCCGGAGGGCTCTGCGAGAATTCTTCGGAGCAGCCGGAGCACTGCCCCATCACTGGAGTTATCCCAGCATCCTGTCCCTGCCACGCGCCGGGTCTTTCTATAAATACGCCGACTGTAATGAGCCGTCTCGAGGCCGTTTGTTCGTGTTGTCACCCAGCATATGACAAAACCACCAGCTTTAAAAAAAACCAAACCATTGTGGTGAGGATTGCTCCTTTCTTTTCCTGGTTAGTTGCTCATTAGATGTCAGCTAATGCCGCTTAGCACCTGGAAAATCATAGTTTAGCCATTTTTGGGCAGTTTTATAATTGTTTACTCATGTACCTAGGAGACTTCTTTACTTTTTAGTCAAGTGTAAGGCTGTACTTTAAACAGTCTGCTTGTTTAATTAGATTTTAATCTGCATTGCTACAGTCAGCTACTGCTTTGTTAGTGTTTTTTCTGTTGTTAAGTCAAAGTTAATGATCTGCTGGTGTTATGCATTGCTTTAAGTTTCCCTTTCAGGTCTTCCCAAGACACATAGAACTGGCTGTAATTCCTTTTTAAAAAAAAACAAACAACAAACTGTGAAAGAAGAAAAAGCTTTCATAGTACCTTGGTTTTTACATTTGTACCTTAAATATTTATTTGGAATTTTATAAATAAACATTTTATAAATGTCTTTTTAAAATAAAATTCATAGACCAGTGCTCAGTAGATATGATCCGTTGTCTGGCTTCGTGTACCTCCCCCCGGGGAACCAGCCTGGAAGGGGGAGCTGGCACCCGTCCAGCAGGGATGTTGCTCCCCCAAACGAGCTCTGCTTCGTTAGTGAGCCAGCCACAGGCCACCAGGTCCAGGAGGTCCCCCTGGACAACCGCTGGCACCCTCTCCTTGCCCACAGCCGGCCTGAGCTCCGGCACTGGCACAGACACCAGGCACCGAGTCTTGTTGTCCCATGCACATGCAACAACAGAGGTTTGTTTTTAAAACAGTGGTGTAGGACAAGAGCTTCCAGTTACGGAAACAAAGCATCATCCGGCTTTGGGGAACGTGCCCTTGTGCTTTTTGTTGCTGGTGCTAATCACACTGGGTTTCACTCGATAAGCGTTGAAGCCCCAGAAAGAAGACAAAGCATAGATCCTTAGAGACGCACAGCAGCAGAGAAAGGCTGAGAAGTACCAGAAGCCACCAAAGCCATATCTCACTTTTTTCTGGGTGATTAGCAGCCTCGCGGTACTACAGTATATAATTTGTGTTGTGTTACCTGAGGACAGATGAAAAAATAAAGCTTGATACCACAGCACAAGGTTAGCCTGTCAAACCTCGGCTATTCTGGGTTGGGTGTTCTTCCCTATCAAAAAGCCCCTTGCAGATCTGTTACTCCAGCTTTAATTGGCAAGAGAAGACAGAGAGCCAGTAGGAAGCACCACTTTGAAAGGTTTAAACTATTTCTAACTTGTTACCCTAAAGATGGCAAAAGCCCAGCCTTAATCTAAACATATAGTTACCTAACATGTATATAAATTACAGCCCGTAATTTTATCAGCTATAATCTGAATTTTGCACAAAGAGTGGGAAAAGAAAAAGGGATGTTAGCCTAAGAGTTTGTGAACAGCTTTCACACAGCTGGTAATTTTTCAGCCATAACCTCTCAAAACATGCATCAGGTATTTCACCTCTGCTGACATCCCTGCAAAAAGGGAAGATCCTGCTGCCTGCTCCCCCGCCGGCTCCCAGCAGAAGGTGTGAGCACGTTCCGTGCACAATAAGCCAGATACAGCTTTCACAGCTTAGTTCAAGCAAGTGTAAGCCTGGTGGAAGGAAACTATTAAAAGATTAGCCCTTGCTTAGTATCTTGTATGTGGGTGGGCAGAAAAGCCCCTCTCATTCAGGAGAAAGCGTTGATCCCAGGTACACTGCAGACAGTCGCGCCAGCACACTATTTGCAATGCTCAGTCCCCGCTCCCAGGACTGGCACTGCCAGTGGAGAGCACAGGCTGGGTCATGCTTGAAATGTAAAAGTCTTTGTCCTTAGAGCAGAGGACAAAGGCACCTGTCAGGGAGGCAGAACCGGGACAGCAGCCCTGGTTGCAGCTCCTAGTTCTGCTTACGAAGGCAGCAGACAGGTGAGCAGGGGAATACCAGCACCGTGGCACTGCTACGTGTCCAGCTTTCTGCACCTCGCACCAACAGAAAAGGCAGTATTAACTCAAGTCCAGATCGCCTGCAAATCTTGCTATCCTGACATATAAAAGCCAGTCTAATCCATGACTGCAAGCGTAGCCAGGGTAAATCATTCTGCTAAGAAGGTCAGGAGAAGAAACTGCACACAGATACAAATCTGACAGTGCGTGAGAACATGCCATGGCATAAGGATATGCGGCAGCGTAGCTCCAGGGGCCATTCAGCTGCTTTGATTTACTCTGGACAGGAGCCAAAATGGCAATCAGGGCAACCTCTCAGAGCTTATCATCTGCAGGACTGGCCTAAGAAGTTTCAAGATAAGAGGATCAACAAGACAACAGCGTAGCAGTGTATGTGCAGTCTAAAGATTACACTAGTTTTCTGTGAAAGGAATAACTTTATTCCATTGACCAGGAATCCCAAGACTGTTCATCAAGACTGCCTATTTTTCCAGTGCCAAATGTCTACGTATTAATCGGACAATATCTTCCCGAATGCTCACAGGCAGGCTGCGGCTGCTCTTCACTGAACATTTTGTAAGCTGTATAAAAACATTTTCATCCAAAAAGATTGGCAGTAAAAATTACAACATAGAAATGCATCACAATTTACACAAAAACTAGTTTTGTTGAACTCTATTTTCCAAAAAATAATCTTCAGCAGGTTCAAATGACAGCAGCTGGAAACAAAAAAATAATTGACCAAGTATCATCTTATTGCAAATTATAACCACTGACTTTGTACAAGCGTGAGCAGAACCATGAAAAAGTTTGTATTGGTTTCAAGTATACAGTGGTGATGAGCCATCCTGATGCAATTCTCTTATCAATGCTTCTCTGGGCCTGCAGTAATCGAGGACGTCGTTTCCATAGGAAATAACAGGAACCTGAAGCGACAAGTGGTGCCAACCCATAGGAACATTACCAGCTTCTTCCATCACCATCACCGCTGTGTACTGACTTCTTGTGACGATTTATGACCCGTTAACAAAGTATTAGGGATGGGGGAAGGAAGAAGGGGTATCCGTAAGAAATGGTTTATTCAAAATTAATTTAAAACATCACATTTAAAATGTCCCAGCACATTATCAGAAACATTTATAAAATGCTAACTCTGCCATGTGTCTATGAAGACATTGTTTGGAAAAGAAAGTGAAAGATTCACTACAATGCCACCCTTACTTCTTCGCACGCGCAATTTATGACAACGGCTCTCTTAACCCGCAATAAGTTATAAAGCTGTACAGCTGAAAGCAGATCAGATGTTTACTTCCAACAGTGAAATGACTGGTTAATTTCAATATTAGTGCACAACAGTGAAAAGCTGTCCGCTGCTTCTTGTTTCAGCAACAGTATGTAAAAAGAAAAAAAAGGCACTTTTTGGCTGGTTGTGCCTTTAACTTGGCAAATTTATCTATTCTGGAGGTACCCAGGCACTCCTTAAGATGTCCCCCATTTCTGTGCATGTTTGTTATATAATTTCTTTCAAAGTAAGGCAGAATCCATAAATAAAGGCAAAAAGCAGTGCAGAAAATGTGACAGAACGCAAAATGTACAAAAGATGAGGAGTTGGTTGGCACAACAGAAGCTAGTATCCAGAGCCAGAAATCACTGAACTGCACTTGACATGGAAAACAAAACTGTGCTCCAATCTTATGAGCAAATCAAAAGAGCTGTGATATTTTAAACGTTGCCTGGTCAAGTGAAAATACAAACAAAGCCAAATCATTCTTTCCCCGTGTTAAAATTGCTATAAAATCTGCACAACAGTGTCCCAACTCACTCAAGGAATTATTCATCATATACAACCAATACCAACTTTCTCAGTAATTTCAAAGCATAAGCAAGTGATTGCAGATCACATGATTGAGACTACGATTTATTCAATATGTCTCCAAAGGTTAAAAAAAATTTAATGAGTAAAACTGCAACAGAATTCCATCTTAAAGTGCTTTTTTTCTTTTAAACTACTCATTAACTTTTTTTTTTAATCCACCAACATCCTTTAATAATGAACACTCGCATACCTAGAGAACAAAGCTTTTCTTTTATTGCCCTTCCCAATTGTCTGTGGTTTTTCGAAGGGTACCAGAGATGACGACCCATTCCAGAGCTCCTTGACTGAACCATTCTGTAAGGAATCACTCTCCTTACAGAGCCATCTTGCCAATCCTTCTCATAAAGAGCTTTACAAATTAGCAGGGAGACATATTAAATACAGAAGTCCTTATGTAAACCCATTCTTTAACTAATATTTTACAATGAAATGTAAGTCATCACACATCTTTACAGAAATTTGAATATTCCTATTCAATATTATCAGAAAGATTAAAAATTTGCCCTCCATACATAAGGGCAATCTGTTGTTTTTTTTTCCTGTATAAAAACCAAAAGAATTTTTTTGCAGCATCACAGAAAAGCAACAGTTTTACATTCACTCATTTAATGTTCACATAAAAATTCAACCACTAGCGTTTGTGTATTTGATAAAATCTTCTTGACAAACTGTTTTCGGTGTCCAGACTGTCACAAGCTACTGCAGGTGGAGATGCAGTTTTCTAGAGCATTTATTGATCTGA